GTTGAGAGAAGAAAAAATTTTCCACATGTATTATGTAGGCCTTGCGAAAGACGCTTGAAAAGATTTTATTTCTTTCAAAACGGTGATCAGTGAAAGTCAGGGTTCTTTAGAAACGGTGAAGTGACTTAAAGAAATATCACCATCCGTGCCGGCACCTTGGCCATTTTGTGCAAGAGATTCTGAGAGAAGCCGTCGCGGTTTAAATTTCGTAACAACTGTATCTTCGATAGTGTTTTGCCAGATTTGTTTTAGTTACAGATTTGTTTTAGCCCATTGTCTCGGCTTGCAGTTGCCCTACCGAACTTATCTCCAGCTATCTAGACAAAATTATGGCTCCCATTGTCAAAATTTTACCATCATATATTAAAGACAGCCAACATACTCTTCAAATTTTTCGAGATTTTAATTTCCCTGGCCAAAACAAACTTCTTTTCACCATGGATATTACGTCTCTTTACACTGTCATTCCTAATGGCGAAGGCCTTCTGGCCCTTAAACATTTTTTTGATCAACGTACTGATAAGGAACCTAAATCTGAAACACTACTACGCTTAGCCGAACTAGTGCTCACACTCAATTGTTTTTCATTCGGAAACAACTTCTTCAAACAAACCAATGGTGTAGCCACGGGCACCAAAATGGGACCTAGCTATGCCAATCTTTTTGTAGGTTTTGTCGAACATCAATTTTTCAGCCAATACAACGGGTCCAAACCTGAACTCTACGGTCGCTACATCGACGACTGTATCGGCGCTACCTCCTCTACCAGAGAGGAGCTCACTCAATTCATAACTGCAGTCAATTCTTTGCACCCGGCTCTGAAAGATACGTTGTATCGGTCTTGCCTCTATATTTATATTCCATATTCTGAAATATACCTGGGAAATTTCTGACAATTCTTTATCCTTTTTAGACATCAAAGTTTCAATTGAAGGTAACGGTTTATGCACTAGTGTGTATTACAAACCTACAGACTCGCATAATTACTTGTTATATTCGTCTTCGCATCCATCTCACGTTAAGAATTCCATTCCTTTTTCTCAGTTTCTAAGACTTCGTCGTTTATGTAGTGATGACTCTGATTTCCACCACAAATCAGAGTCAATGTGCCAGTT